CTGCACTCACACCGCCCCTTGGCTCAGTTTATATGGGTGAGACCAGTATTGTGCTGATACATGGGTGTGTTAGCATGTAAATAATATACTTCCATTGGTACTTGTCTGTGTGCGAGTGTATGCATGTTACTGCAGTGTGTCAGTCAGTCACAGCATGGTCCTCCCTGTAACACAAAGGCCCTGTCAGTGGCAGCCGTGTGTGTGTGTGTGTGTGTGTGTGTGTGTTGGGGGTTGCTCAGCTTGTACGGCTCCTCCAATCTGGACTTTGGAGGGAAGGAAGAGAGAGGAGTTGGAGGAGGGGGGCTGAAGAGACTGGGGTTGGGGGGATTATTAGGAAGGGGGCCAGAGTTGTTTTTATGGACTCGTCTCCACAAACCATCAGACGACATGCTCCACTGATCTCTTTGTGGCTCTCTTTGGCCCATGTTGTAAAGTTGGACTGACCCTCTGGCTTGGGACTCTAGTGTTATGTCTTTAAAGTCTTAAATAGAAGCTATCTGATATTTTGTGCTATATATGATCTAGTCCTATACTAAAGTCTGCCTCTGTGTCTCTGCCTGCAGCCCTTCCATCCCATGGTGAACCTGCAGTGCTCTCCAGACCTCCGGATGTTCCTGTGTGCTCTCTACGCCCCAGTGTGTACCGAGTATGGGCGGATGACTCTGCCCTGTCGCCGCCTCTGTCTGCAGGCCAAGAGCGATTGCTACAAGCTAATGGACATGTTTGGTGTCAGCTGGCCAGAGGAGATGGACTGCAACAGGTTGGTGCACAAGCAGTGGCTTTCTCCTGGGTTTCTGTCAGCGTTAACAGCCATGGTGCATTAGTAGTATGAGCAGATTTTCCTCTTTGGGAGGAGTAAATGTGCAGCAGCAGACCAGCATGCATAGACAAAATACTGTATTTTGGTGATATAGGAATAAAGAGGCTTAGAATAATACAGTGTTTCTTTTATCTAACATCAGTTGAGTTGATCTGCACCACAAACCGACTCTGCTGCCTGAAAATCTTTGTGGTGGTTGTAAAACCTCCATAAACCAGGTAATGAATCAAACTGAACACTGACTGCTGTGATATGTAGGAATGTAGTTGAAGAGTGTTGTGTTGAGAAGCCCCGATATGATTTTTGAGAAAATGTCTCCTCGCTGTCTGTCTTAAACTTTGTTGTCCCAGAAGGCAGATTAGTTTTGCAGCGAGATCGTTGACAGTATTGCAGTACCAAGGACTATTTTACCAAAACGGCACTGAACTAATGAAATGTTGATGCCAAACGGGGCAATAGAAGTTTATTTCAAAATTAAAATGAGTAGAATCGCATTTACAAGTTTTAATACAACTAACAATAAACAAATAGATAAATATCTGTTTTAAAAACAAAAATGTTTCATCTATTCTGTGTTGCTAGGAGCTGTGTTCACACCGGTCGTCTAGAATGTAGAAGAATGTAGTCATCAATCTGAAAAGGCATTTGAAACTGGAAGTATGTGCAGTGCGTTGTTAAAGGCTTTGCAGCTGAAATGACCCCGAGATCATTGTGTCTCCACTTCCTTCCAGGTTCCCAGACTGTGACAAGCCCTATCCCCGTCCTGTAGACCTCCTGTCCAGCTCGGACACAACCGAATCCCCCATCTCCGTCCAGAGAGACTACGGCTTCTGGTGTCCAAGAGAACTCAAAATTGACCCTGAGCTCGGCTACTCTTTCATGGGGGTTCGGGACTGCTCGCCCCCTTGTCCCAACATGTACTTCACACGCGAGGAGCTGATGTTTGCCCGTTACTTCATCGGGGTGGTGTCCATCGTATGCCTGTCTGCCACTCTCTTCACCTTCCTGACTTTCCTCATCGACGTGTCACGCTTCCGCTACCCAGAACGCCCGATTATATTTTACGCTGTGTGCTACATGATGGTGTCCCTGGTGTTCTTCCTGGGGTTCCTGTTGGAGGACAAAGTCTCCTGTAATGCAGCAAGTCCAGGGAGGTTTAGGGCTTCAACAGTGACTCAAGGCTCCCATAATAAGGTTAGAAAATGTGTCCTTCACTTCGTATTCTTTTCTAGTATTCTACTCCCTACATACTGAAAACTAGGCAGCACTCGGAGCACAAACCTCTGCCAAAGCAGCTCAGTTTCCCCATAATGCCATTACACCTAAAAGCCACATTCCCTTCATAATGTGATTCCTGGGCCATGAGAACCTACCCCTAGAATTTGGAATCACATCAATATTAATCCATATTAATAGTTTGAAAGTTTTTCAAGAAAAGCAGTAGGCAGTAGTGATTAGTAAATGCCATGAATGGCTAAATAGTTGTCACAGGTAGACTGAAATAACACCGTGTACATCAAGTCCTTCATAGACGAACACAACTCAAAGCGTTTGGTTACATGTAAGTCCAATGTGCCTCTTGTTACACTTGCTAGCTTGTCTTCACTCCAAGTGCTCAGCAGCACAGTCGCATACTTTCACTGCGAGGGGGCTCACATACGGTCAACAGTGGTGACGAAGACTTGATCCAGGTGATGGTCAGGACCGAAATGTGATGGATTATTTGCTGGGTCATATCCAGTCTCTCAGAAAAAAAAAATCATTCAAATTCATTAATAATTTTTGAGATATGCTGTGAACAAACCAACAGACATACGCTGGTAAAAACATGACCTCCACGGTGTAATAATTACTGGTTTTGTTTTTCTGTCTCAGGCCTGCACGCTCCTCTTCATGGTGCTGTATTTCTTCACCATGGCCGGCAGTGTCTGGTGGGTCATTCTGACCATCACCTGGTTCCTGGCTGCTGTTCCCAAGTGGGGCAGCGAAGCTATAGAGAAGAAAGCCCTCCTCTTCCACGCCTGTGCCTGGGGCATCCCTGGCGTCCTCACCGTCACCTTGCTTGCCATGAACAAAATCGAAGGGGACAATGTTAGTGGCGTTTGCTTTGTGGGCCTCTACAACTTGATGGCGCTGCGTTGGTTCCTACTAGTCCCACTGGGACTGGATGTAGTGGTGAGTATGAGAGCATGCTGCAGCTTATGATGTACTCTATATTGTCTCTATCTGTATATAAATATCTTTAAACTACAGATGAATCAGCTTTATAATCATCTGTTATGCAGGCACCTGCTTCTGATCCTGACATGGAGAGCACTGTTCATTTCCTGAATGAATGGATGGAAGCACAGCATTTTTTTACTAACAGATATTTAACCTACTCCTTGTCTCAAATCATCCTAGGTGGGCGTGGCTCTGCTACTAGCAGGTATTGCAGCACTAAACCGGGTCCGCATGGAAATCCCACTAGAGAAGGAGAACCAGGAGAAACTGGTGAAGTTCATGATTCGCATCGGTGTGTTCTCCGTCCTCTACCTGGCCCCTCTGCTGACTGTCCTGGGCTGCTACCTTTATGAGAGCAGCTACAGAGCCGTGTGGGAGACGACCTGGGTCCAGGAGAGGTGCAGAGACTACCACATCCCCTGTCCCTACCAGGTAACCTCACCCTGCTCTATGATTATATTTTTTTAAAGTTGGTTTGTGCACAGACTATTATTTTTACTTAAAACAGTCTAGAAACCCAGATGTGATGACTGGAAGATAATGACAGTAGCACTCACAGTTTGCACAGATGCGCTTTTTCTTGCACCTTTGAAAAGAACAGGACCAAGCAGGAGGTAACAGCTGGGAGAGAAGTTCCAGATGTGTTTGCAGACAGACACATTAGAGAGCAGAATACTCGGTGGACAGCACAGTCAATATACAGTAGACTGAGGTGCACACACACACTCAGTTTTACATGAGATTAGGGATGGGCATTAGAATAAATGAGTAAGCCAATTCAAGTTGATTTGATTCACTGTGATGCCATCGCTGTGACATAACTATCACATGCCCTCCACCCTGACCAAAAAGAAAGAGAAAGATGGGACCAACCAGTGGTGACATATGAGATGTGTCCGTTAATCGCTTGCTGCTGCTTTCTTGGCTTTACAGCAGTGTCTGTGACTTGCTGTACTTTTCCTCAGTTGGCCTGGTAATTATCTTTGAAGGTTCAGTGTATTCGGGTTCCACAAAGTCATTCCGTCTTTGAAGTCCTACTCCCTTCACAAAAGAGGACACATATCGTCTGACATCAATTTATTCACCAAAACAGTTATTTGCTCCTTCGTCGTTTGCTGTCACATAAATGTTTAGGGGCAACAAATCCAGCTGTTTGTCGTCATGGCTCTGCTGTTAAAGCTCAACATTTTCTGGCAAAGCTGTAAATGACACCGCATCATGTTGGCAGAATTGTAAAAGAGCTGTAGCTTTGTTCCACATAATGAGCATTCTTTGTTGTCCAGCAGAGTAAAAGAGCGCCACGTTTCATTGTTTTGCTGAAACTGCCGACATATCTCCCGCCACAGAAAGTGTGTGTGTGTGTGTGTGTGTGTGTGTGTGTGATGCTGAGATGCATCAAAGAGCTGCAGTAGCCTCCAGCACCACCCACAACACAAAGCTCTCTCTTGCACTTTCTGCTCTGAGTTCCTTTCAGCCCGATATCTACTCCCGTGTGAGCAGCTGCCTTTGTACATCCGCTTTGACCAGAAGTGGATTTTGATTGTGGTAGAGCAGTGTGTGTGTTTCTGCTGCAGGAGGACGGGGTCACTGGGGTCACATAGTTACAGCTGATCTGAACACAGGCTGGATGTGCTCCACAGCTGGCCTGCTGTGTACAGTAACACACATTCAGTGTTGCACCTCACCCCCAACCCCATAGTGTTTATGAAAGCAGTGTGTATTCACACACACACACACACACACACACACACACACACACACACACACACACACACACACACAGAGTCTGTAACATGCATCAACAGATAGTAAGGCCCACTGAGTCTAAGCTATGTTTATCTTACAAGACTTCCCTGAGGCCTGGACTGCCACTCAGCTCTACAGCTCTTGAGTGATACTGTTCTTGTCCACAGCTCACACATCCACACACAGTCTTTGATTCACTGCGCTGCTATGACAGCGACATAGACATAAACCTCATGATACTGGACAAAGTAACAAGAGACTCAGTCAATCAATCAAATTTTATTTGTATAACGCCAAATCACAACAAAAGTCATCTCGGGACACTTTACAAAGTAAGGTCTAGACCTTACTATAGTCACTTTCGGCTTTTCCCATTTAGGGGTCACCACAGCGAATCGTCACACTGATGAGTCGCATGTTGACATTTGGCACGTGTTTTACGCCGGATGCCCTTCCTGACGCAACCCTGATTCGAACCCGGGCTGCATTATTATTATTATGATGGAGCAGGACTTGGTGACAGTGGGGAGGAAAAACTCCCTTTAACAGAAGAAACCTCCAACAGACCCCGGCTCTTGGTGGGCGGCCTTCTGCCTCGACCGGTTGGGGTGAGTGGATAGAGGAGAGACAAAAGAAGAAAAACAACCAAACAAACAATCAAACACTGATCAGGTTGATGTGGCTGGGGGCTGCTCGTCAGAGACATAGAGCTCCAGGGCCAGGGCAACCTGCAGAAAGGTACAGGGAGAGAGAGAGGACACACTACGGGAGAGAGGAGACACAAAGTTAGTAATGTGTAATGGTGGCATATAGAAACATAGGGAGAGAGAGGAGAGGGGAGGGGAGGAGAGGAGGAGGAGAGGAGGATTTTCAGTTTTGCAGCTAATTTGCGGTCCAGCTCGCCCCAGAGTTTGGAGCTTTAAGTGCTAGTGTAGCTGCAGCAGAACCTGTGACATACAGTCTAATGAGGATGTTGGCTGTAGCCGAGTCTCTTATCTCTGCTATAATGAGCCTATCTGTGGATCGCTGAGCCTCCAGGCTCTCCCCCTGGCCCTCTCATAATGAGGCCATCATGACTACATGGGGGTGTGTGTGCATGTGTGACAGAGAGGGAGCATAGTGCTGTGGTCTGCTGCCTGCCAGCTGTAGGAGTGTTGTCATTGTCTTCTACTCTTCACCTGGAGACTCATTCACTGATTGACTGAAAACCTCTGAAGCCAACAAACCTAATATTTACACAAAACAAATATTTCTTTTTAAATGAGGTATCAGCCATCAGAAACCTCCCATCTTTTAAAGCCTTTTGTCACCACAGAATGAGTTGTGTAGGAGAGAAGCAGTAGGAAAAAGACAAACTACAGTTCAAGGCAAAAATAGAAATGATTTGTTCAAGCAGACAAACAGTAGAAGAAGAAGGCTTCAGGCCCAGTCAGAGATGACTGTGGTGTTGACTTCTAGAAATAATTGAATGTTTGTGACTGTTTAGGATAAAAACGTGCACGTTCTTACTGTAACACACCATAAGCCATTTCTGCTCAAACCGTCTTCCTCTCCCACACACACAGACCTTCCTTCAGGCCAGATGTGGGCGTATTAGCTGCATTTCTCTTATTCTGTCTCCCCACCTCCAGCTCTGCCTCCATCATCAACCAAACACACTCAAAGTCTACTGTCTGTTTCAGTGCCGTCACAAACCTTCACCACCAAGCCAATAGCCACATCACCTGTGTGTGTGTGTATCATGTAGGTGGAGAGTACAAGTCGTCCTGACCTGGTCTTGTTCCTGATCAAGTACCTGATGATGCTGATTGTGGGCATCCCCTCAGTGTTCTGGGTGGGCAGTAAGAAGACCTGCTTCGAGTGGGCCAGCTTCTTCCACGGCAAGAGACGCAAAGAGTATGTACTCCACACACACCGATGGTGTTTCAGGTTGTGAGCTGACGGGCTCTGTGTTACAGTGGTACAGCTTCTCAGCTATTTGCTCCAATATCTAGTGCTTTATACGGCAGCAAACTATATTTACAACATCTTCAAAAGGTTTTTCATGCAAGTTTTCTCCCAGTGGCTGTGGTTGAAGAAACACAAAGCATTTCTTTTCCCTGTAGTGACTGAATTTTTCTCACTTACAGTGAGATCAAGTATCTGTGTCTGCATTTGTCTTAACATATGGTCAGATCTTCATCCAAGTTAGTTATGCACAAAGATTTCAACTAATATCACACAAATCATTTGTATTGTTCATTCAAAAATCATTCAAACATTCAAGGCGCAGGTTGGAAAATGTGCGTGAACCCCTCGGCTAATGACATCAACACAAGCTAAATGGAGTTGGCTGAGCAAATCAATGACGCCACCGTGTAGGAACAACGGTTCAGCGTTTCTCTTGAGTGCTGTGCTGGTCTGATGGCAGCTGCTGGAAGCTTGTTAGGATTTACTTCATTTTATACCAGCACTGTGCAGGTTTACTCTGTGACTTGTATGACGTTCAGATCACACTTTATAACCAGTTAATGCAAAAACCAGCTCATTCCAAAGGGTTCAGAATTGTCTTGCTACTGTATCGGACATGCTACCTCTGTACAGCTGTGGGCTAAAGTTGACTGTAAACAAAAATGTAACCATGCTTTAGTTGCTACGAGCAGATATTGTATTGTATGAGCAAACATTGTAGAGCAGTATGTCGACCATTTGACAACTAGCAGCGACGTGTGGTGACATTTTCTCATTGTGTTGGTAAAAACCATAATTGTTAAAGACACTGGTTTGGAAGGAAGCAAATGTTTCTCTCACCTAAGCACTGACCAGTGTGGAGACGTGGGTGGGGCTTTGATTTAATGTTAGAATCGAGCTCGTAGCAGTAGAAATGTTGCTGAATAGTGAGCTCCCACACACAAGCCTTTCCACACCTGGCACTGGGTGAGAGGCTCTGAGCTCACTTCACTGGCCTACGTCAGTCCTCAGAGTGTGAGGACTGAGGGTTCACCTTGCTCCAATGCATTTGCTGTGCTGAGGATCATGGTGTGAGGCTGCTTGGTGAACTCCTCCCCTCCATACTCCGAGCATTAACCACCTGCTCCACGTGCTCCTCCATCCTCTTCTACTGCACCTTTCCACGTTCCCTCCTACAACTCTCTCTGCCCTCACTCCTCTTCTCTTCCCTGTTGCAGTGCTGCTGTCAATGAGAGCAGACAGGTACTCCAGGAGCCCGACTTCACCCAGTTGCTCTTCAGGGACCCCAACACACCCATTGTGAGGAAGTCCCGGGGCACGTCCACCCAGGGGACCTCCACCCACGCCTCCTCTACACACCTGGCTATGCTAGATGAACCGCCTAGTGCCAGCACCAGCCGGGCTGGCTCTGTGCGCAGCGCACGCTCCAAGATGAGCAGCTACCACGGCAGCCTGCACCGCCCCAGAGACGGAAGGTGTGTTCTCAGCTTTCCTCCTCACTGGCTCATTCATTCTGCACAATACCACAGTCCTCAAGCTGATTTGTGATCCTTTTTGTCCCAGATACACGGCCTCCAGTTTCCGGGCTGCAGATAAGCGGCTGCCCTACGGCAGCATGCCTCGCCTCGATGACCAGTCACAGTCCAGACACTGCAGCACCAACCGCCTGGACAGCCTCTCACGGCAGGGCTCCACCCAGCAGCTGGAGAGCCAGTCACGGCACAGCAGTGTCAGAGACCTGAACAGTGCCACCCAGGCTGTTCTCTGTATGCGTGGAAATGGGATTCACAGAGTCCTGGAGGAAGACGGAGCTACAGCTTGAACTGAAGCTCAACCTTCAGAAGGTGGGACTGGACGGGTGGAATCCAGAGTAGGAAAGATGACTCTCTTATTAGAAAGCTGACAAATGGATCCACTGTTCTCCAGCCGTAAGAGTAGAGACAACTGTGGCTTGAATTTGGGAGCCCAGAACTGAATCACAAACTTACTGTCCAGTTTACCGATGAAGGCAGAGAGCAACGTCTACGTTGAACGGAGGGCACTGTGTCTGGATTTTTGCCTTAAAATGTCCTGGCAGCTTTATGGAAGCTACAGGCAAAACCCCCCCCCCACCAACAAAACTAAACCCTGCCTTCTGCCTGTGTGTTTAGACAGGACACAAAGTGAATTTCAAAGGCAGTGCGCCTGCAAAATGTGAATACTCAGTGCGGATGGAGAATGAAGGCAAAGGTACATCTGCAGCATTTGAAAATATTTCAACATGAGTGAGGGATTTGCACAGAACCCTGGGTTTCTGAAATTGTGTCAAACTTAAAAAAAGGTGAGAGACGGTTCATCGAGTTCTGCTTTCTGTCCAAACACACCTTTCCAATTTGATCATGTGCCAAATTAGAGCAAATTCTGAATAGTCTGTCCTGTTTGTGACCTATATAGCTACTGTAGTGTTAGACCAACAAGTCCTCTAGTGGCTAAAGCTGTGCATAGATGTACAAAGTGAACTTTGGTTGTTCATTTGTAATAAAGTCTTTTATAAGGATGGACGAGGATGTTTTGGCAGCAGCAATGACCACACCAACACAATGTAACTGTAACAGCCCTCCGCTTTATTGAAATACATCGGAGTCGGGTTAATATAATCAGCTCTCCACGAGTGTGGCGGCCAGTTCCATACATTATTTTTTGTTTCGACCTTACACCTTAAATATTTTTTGTGCAAAAAAGAATCTACATCACCTGTAGTGGGTTATCCTCAATAAAACGCCCAAACTGTTCAAAAAGGAGCAAGTCCAAGTAAAACAAACCAAAAACAAAAATGATTACATCTATAACATGCAAAACTGTACAAATTATTACAAAGTAATCCTAGAAAAAAACAAAGTGTAATATGCTATGAAAGAGCAAAAATAATATAGAAGGTACTGTAGATAAGACCTCACTGAAATGCAAAGGTGTTTGAACTTCTTTCTTCGATTCTCAAACGGTGGCCAGTCACCCTTCATCCTTTTCTATCTTCTAGTTGTTGCCACCGTCTCTTCCTGCTCTCTCCACCCAGGTCCCATTTACCTCCCTGGCTCCTCCATTAAACAAACTTCTAACACTCATCTCAATGAAAATAATTCTGGTTCTGACATTTCCTGAGTTTCTCTTCCTCTCAGTTTAAACTATAATGTCTGGGATCAGTTTTTCTAAATAATATTAGCCAATAATAAAACGGACAGTTTCCTCTCCTGCAGCTAATACATTCTACAGCTGAACTGCAGCAGGAACTGAGGAGACATCAGCTTAAAACGTTTAAGAGGTGGCTATTTGGAATAAAAGCAGCTTAAGTGCACTGAGCTCCAAACCTCTCATCAAATAAAATGAACTAGTAAATAAAACACTTGGAATGGGCTTAGA